AATATTAACCCTAATAGAACTGGGTCTGGGGTTTTAAGATCCCTCCGTATATACGCGGACTAGTCGCGTAGGTTTTTGGGATATCATTTTGAAATTTTGCACACATCRTTTTTCTGAAAAAAYTCTCGTCATTTGTAGGAACTGTCGATATCGGACACTTACAGCATATAGCTGTCGTATAAGCTGACCAATTTAACCCAAAGCCTTGTAAGAAAMACTTTTTCATTTGACAAGTTAGCTTCACAAAGTTCGGAACAGATTAATATCAGATGCTTATCTACAACCTCTGAAGAAATTGTTCAAATCGAACCAATATAGGTTAAAGCTGCTATATAAACTGAACGGCCAAAGACAAGCTAAACACTTTTTTTGAACCCTCTGATGATATAAAGAACATATCTATGAAGAGTATTATAATTTCGAAAAAGAGAAGAATCATCAGGAGTTATTCCGAGGTTTTCTGGGGATTTTTGTGTTTATCCGGATTTTAATGGGCACGCCTCCGCCGGTCTACTGAGGTCTGCCGGTCTACCGGTCTGCTTCGTTTACACTGCAACACTTCAAGTTTACGACCAGCACCTAGTAACAAAAAACCAAACAAGCCACTGTGGCAAGGGGGCGGTAATATGACAATAAGAAACCAAGAAATAGTGCTGTTGTAAAAAATAATTTTTTTGCTTTAGTAGAAATTTTTTTTCTTTCTATTTTTCCTTCCTTCGTCGTTTTCATGGCACTGCAACTAATTGTTTTTATTGCAACGTCGTGTTGCCTACCGGTTCGACTGTTGCACATTGTGAGCTGCCAAGYGCCGTTACACACCGCCTCACACTCCCCCTTAAGTTACACCGACCAACCAGTAGTATGCTTCGTTCGCGCTCTCTCACTCTTCGGCACATTCGACGCTTCCAGCATTTCTCTAATCTCAAATCGTCAATTTGGGTTTCTGCTTTGCTGTGCTTGCGAAATTTTGTTGTAAGCAGTTGGTAACAGTAAATTTGCCTTTGCTGCAGCTGCAACAAAGCACAGGCGACTGTGTGTGTTTGTCGCCTAGAGACAGTGTGYATGCGCTTRAAGGGGACGGTGGGGGAGTGTAGCTGCTGTCGAAAACGAAAAGTACATTACTCGTCGTGATGTTTTTCCCTAATTGGGTTTCTTATGCATGCTCATTCGCTGCAGCCGCAATCAGTTGCAAAAACCGGCCGGTTGTCAGGTGCCCAAACAAATCAATGCACGCACTCTCACACGCACATGCAATGCAATTTAAGTGCATGCATGCAAAATCTTAGGCACTTACACGCATATATACGTACATTCATAGTGATATTTTAATCTGCCACAGTGAACGTGCCTCGCTTGGCAAACGAAATCTTCGCTTTTCACTGCATTCGTTGCCACCTCCACGAATAGTCCGTCCAACCGTCAGACAAACATTCAATTGCATCTGTTTATTTAAACGTCATGTCTTCTCTATTCGTTCTCTCTCACTATATCTCTCTATCTGTATGCCTTTTCGCTCTTTTGTCTCTGCGCCATTTTCGCTTTTCTCAGTTGCTGCATTTCTGTTTTGCACTCGGCCCATTTCGTTTTTTACTCGACATTTGCATTCTCCACATTGGCGCTCTCTATGCCTCCAATTCACTGCAAGTCAAGCAGCACACTCAATACCTCACCAAAATCTGCCGTCGGCCCGGGCAGACTGCCTTGCTGCGTCGTGCACCCAAACTGGCCTCCCAACTTTTCTGCTTTYGGTTGTTTAGTATATACTATGGTAGTGTATTTGGATTAGCAACAACTCTTCGGCTGCGAGCCTAGGTGAATGATATGCCCAAGCGATAACCCCACAAACAATTTTCTTAGTGTGGCAAAGTCATAAAATAGACAATCATATGACAAAATCAATTATGTTTATTAGACTTTAGCTTCCCACGAATAAAGTGGTCTTATAAAGGACCTATACAGCGCCTCTCTTCCTCAATTTAAAGTAATATTGTAAAATATGCGGTACAGTCMAGTGTAAATTGGAGTGTGCTATGGTTTTCTTAATGAAACGGTCTTTTATATTTTGTTTAATAGGCAGAAGACAGGTAATTTCTCGACTTCAAAGAAAGTGCTTCCATGACTTCAGACCCTGTACGAAAATACCGAGATTTATTGATATAACGATATTTTATGTAATGATGAAGGATAAGAAGACAATTGCGTTCTCGATTCAAAGAAAGTGCTCTAGTTGCTTCACATCCAGTATGAATATACCGGTTTTTCTCGACGGGATGATCTTTTATATAAAGCTGAAAGAGTAGACGATAAATGCTTTCTCGAATTCGACAAAAGTACCTCCATTGCTCCAATTCCATTGCGAAAATGTTGGATTTTCTAAAAGAGACGATCTTTTATATGAAGTTGAAGGAGGAGACTAGATTTGCGTGCTCGGGTTTCAAAAAAGCGTCTTCGTTTTTTCAGCGCCATCTCGAAAATGCCGGTTTACAGGTATATTATCTACTAAAACAGGTTTCAAAGTCCGAATCATACTTTGATTAGGCGGTAAACGAAAATTGCATCTCACTTCTAGCAACTGATACTTAGCTTCGGTTTCGCAAAAAGCTACTTAAGCAACTTAATGCAATGTTGGAGCGGTATAGTCTTTGTATGACATGCAAATGTTCTCATATATTTCTCTTGCTTGTGTGGCTCACGGSGCCTATTTGATTTCCTTCAAATGCATTTCCTCGCATAGTCGCCGTAGCCTAGACAACCTCTTCTCCGCATGCAATCCTCCACAAACCCGAAAATGCTGATTGCCCGTGGGTGATTGTCGCAGTTATTCTCTATTTGCAGTTTTAGTTTTCTTCAATATAAATATCGAACTATAACTTGCTCTCGCCTATTACGCTTCACTTACTTTTGTCCTCATAAAATATAATTATAATTATTTTGTAGCATTTTTTGTTYTTAGCTTTTCTKTATTCGTACTCTTTCTCAACTGCCTATCTAACTAGTATTTTGTATGCTCGCATATTCTACGCTCTCGCGCCGTACGCTTTTGTGCGCTCTTCTCGTCTCGTTTGTTCGTTTCAACGCAAATCACCGGTCGCGAATTTCATTTCTCTGTTTTTTCGCAATTTTTCTGCTTCTATTTTAAGTTTCATTTAATGTTGTGTCGTTGAGCTTTATTTATTTTCTCGCTGCTGTAATCTTGTTTGTGTATATTTTCAGATCGAGTTCGTCGTCTTTTTTTGCTGTACGCTGTGCCTCTGTTCTGTGGTATCGATGTTCTTCATCACTTTCTGGGGCTAGTCAGTTGTGTGGCTTGATGGTTAAGCCGGTTGACTGGCTGTCYGGCGGACTGGCGAACTACTTGGCCGTGCACCATCCACTGCCCGCTATCCGGSTACGCGTTTTCACCCGTTCTCGCTGTATTACCGTTTCTTTGCCCATCTCGTTTTTTATCGCCATTATTTGCGTGTTGTTTTTGATTGTTTTGCATTTTTTCAAGCGCAWGCCGCCGCATTCCGTCGCACCTCAACCCGGTCATACGCCAAGAGTTGCGTTGGACGTTAGCATATCGCGGTTGGCTTCTGGAGCTRCGGCGGCTGTACGGTGCAGGTTTGATTGCTGTGTGCTATTTTTGTTAGTTTCGCCAGTTTGTTGCCTGTCCGATTGTTCTCTTCATTTGCTGATTTYAGCTGTTGTATTGTTTTTGCATACACACGTACTTATGTATACCACGGGCCGGCTCTGGTCTTTGGTTTGGTCGCATGTCTCCCTCGGTATCGCCATATCTTCTCTATCTCAGCGTGCGCTTCGTTCGTTACATTCGTGGCCGTCACTCGTAGTCGASTGCCGGGTTGCCGGTTACGCCGCGATAGTTGGCAGCGCACAGTGGACACGTTATAAGGAAAGTGAATTGAGAATTTGCACTTCAAATAGACTCATTGACATTTAGAAGGGACTACAAAAAAGAACTTTAGATATTTATTGGTCCTAGTGCTACTATTTATAGTGCATTCAATAGAAAAAATGTTGGGTTAGTTATCAGTTAATCTCGTCTGAAGCTCTCAAAGCTCTACACTTAGATTGTGAGTTACCTCTTCGGGAAATCATTTGATCCAATGAGCTTTAAACCGCTTTMTTATGACTGAGAGAGCCCRCAGAGTCTGTTAATATTCGCGTTAAGCTCAGGMATCTTAAAGGATGACTAGTTCTCTTGGTTTCGCAAATGACCAGAACTGGTCTATAAGTGGCTTATTGGCTTACCAGTTTAACCTAACCTAACCTATGACTGATAGGTGTTATGTTAAGCTTCTTAAAGTACTTTTTACATTGGTCAGTTACCAAAGTCGAACTTAGGTGCTCGTCGGCGCCCTATCATATTCATCATCATGCTGTCACTCTCAAATATTTAAAATTGTTGGCTTTTTATGTTCTGTTAACCACTGTGCGCGGCCGTCTACAGCACCATCGTTGCTGCCTCTGGAATTTGTGCCGTGCCTCTGTTGCCGCGTCGCCACCGCCTAGTACTCGGCGCTGCATGTAACTACCTTTTGTTTYGGGCATTGCTACGCGCTGTGTATGRCACTCTGCTTTGGCTGCCTCCTTTGCTCCAACCAACCAGCCGATGCTGGCGCGCTGCTCGGCTCTGGTTGTCGGCGTTTGCAGTGCGCTTTGCTTCATTTTGCTATGGTTTGGTATGCTGTTTTGTGTTTCTATTTGCTTTTTGCTCGCTTCGTTTTGTGTCTGATTTTGTTTCATTCATTTTTCACATTTTGCTCGTACACTCTTTGCTGTGTTTTTGCTTTTGTGCTCAGTACCAATGCTGTTGCTGTTACCATTGTTGTTGTTGTTGTTGTTGYKGCGTTTTGTTTTTRCTGCTGTTATTRTTGTTGTTGTTGTTATTGCATTTGAGACGCTTTTGTACGATGTCTGTTGTCGATGTTCTCTATTTTCCCCAATCGCGAAGTGCCTTTTCGCATTTATATTCGTACTATATTCTCGCGCGCTCTCTGCATTCAGTTATTCGCCGATAATTGATGTCAAAGGACGCGTTACGGCGTCGGTCATACGGCGCGTATAATTAACAAGGATTTCGATAACGAACAATTTGTTGTTAATTTAGTTCCGGGTTTAGTGCGTTTTCGATTTGACTTCCGCTTCAAGTGCTGCCACATTTATTTGTTTGCGGTTTTTTTGCGACTTTCGTATGTTTGCGCCAACATTATTTGTTTAACTGCCGGTTTAAGCGCTAAATTGTTGCTCCCTCTACCTTTGTACAACAAATAATATAAACAACACACACAWACACATAYAAAKAAAGTATAGTACGCGTGCGCGCGCTCTTCGCTACAACGCCCTGCTTAACAGCGTCGTTCACTTTGGGAGTAGTAATTTACCGTTGCAATGCCAAAAGAAGATCCATTCGTGAATCGCGCCCAACTGTTGAAGGCTATCAAAAAGTATCCRGAGATATGGGACTCAAATAATAAACTGCACATGTGCCGCAGCGTCACAGCGCCCATGTGGAACGAGATAGCCGAACAGTTTGGTGGGCATGTGCCAACAGGTGAGACAGAGACAAGAGCATATATATATTCTTTATGGAAATGTAATCGATATTTTTTACGAATTAAGCATATGACATGTTAAGTTCTWAGTTAAGTTACGGTTAAGTCAAAATTCTAGTTTGAGCTACAGTTAAAGGTTAGGTTGATAAATAAGTCGCATAAGTCAGTATGAATCGGTCAGTCTGTATGACAGCTATATGCTAAAGTGGTTGGATCTGAAAATTTCCTCGGAGATTATGGCATATCTGGGTTAATAATCAGTGCCAAATTTCGTGAAGATATCTCTTCAAATAAACAAAGTTTTCTTTATAAGGATTTTAGTGAGATCGGTCAGTCTTTATGGCAGCTATATGCTATATTAGTTCGATCTGAACTATTATACGGAGATTATACCGTTATTTTATATATAAATCCAATGCCAAAATTTGTGAAGATATTTTGACAAATAATAGAGTTTTCCTTACAAAGCTTTGAGTTGGATCGGTCTTTTCCTATAGATATATATGGCAGATATATGCTATAGTTGTCCGATATCGGCGGTTAAAAAAAAAATAAGCAGCTTTTTGATGAGAAAAGAACGTGTGCCAAATTTCAAGTCGATATCTCAAAAATTGTGGACTAGTTCGAGTATAAAGAGACGGGCTGACATACGGAGATCACTTCTCAACCATACTTTGTAGGGTCTTGGATGTTTCCACGTTTCGTTTTAGATGTTCGAAATATCGCGACAACCTTAAGAGCAGAGTATAAAACGGTTAAAATTTAGTTTAATGTAAAACGATGCTAGAAAAGGGTCCAAAGGCACTTCAAGCTCCAAAATTATAACAGAAAATATCGCATGAAAACTAGCGATATTTTATTTGCTTAAAAGAGATAGAATTTATAATGAATACCAATAGAAACCCTCGCTTAACATATGTATACCCACATTGCATGCACACAGTAAAACTCCAGTCCATCTGGAGTCAGATGAAGTACCACTACCACAACTTGGTACATCGACAAATCTTGCATAAGGAACGCTTCACYACCAAATGGGAGCACTTCGAACCGATGTCTTTCATGTACAACATCACWGTGGCGAAGATAGTTGGAGCCGCTGGCGCCAATGATGGCAATCAAACACAGCATTTGCAGTCACCCACAACCGCATCACTGCCCACGCCACCGCCGACACCAACCACACCGCAAACGCAGGGACGTGGACGACCCAGCGGCAGTTTTACATGGCTACCGGCGCAGCAACAACAACAACTACAACAGCAGCTRGTGCAAACACCATTGTCCACACAAATGCACGAACAATTGACACCGGGTGGCATGCCGCAACCGCTACTTACATCGACGCCCCTACCGACACAGACTGAGGTGAGCGTTGAGACAAGTCCATTTATTGGTTTCACTGGACTCGTGCCACCGGCAGCCATAACGGTGGAAGCTACAACGACACCAATGCGCAAGCCGGGACGTCCAGGTTCAATGAATAATAGCATGCGCGGACGCATCATCGACGTGATCAAGGCACATCCGCCTTTGTGGGTTGGACGTCAACAGGAAGCTGTGCCAGGCCAACGCAAGGCCCAAAATCGTACATCGGCTGTGTGGAAGGAGGTTGCCGCGGAGCTGGGCTTGACTGCAAGTAAGTAACGAGCTGACATGACATATAACTAACTAGTGGAGTATAAAGTCTTAGCCTGAGAAAATAAGCCGTAAACTGTAGAATAGACTAATAGTGTTACTATTTTTTTTTTTTTGTTTTTCTATTTTTTCTTTCTTCCAATTTTTCCATTACCCTCTCTCTGTCTGTCAGGTCTTGTCCAAACTCGCTGGTCCATAATAAAACAGCGCTACGTAGATGAACTGCAAAAAGAGCGGCGCGCTCACTTCACTCAACAGGCCTTTCACTCCACCTGGGAGCACTTCGAACGCATGGACTTCATGCGCGACATACTCATCAAGAAGGTAGACGAGCGCGAGCAAACGCGCGAGCAGATACAGGAAATCGTTAGTGAGCATCAACAATTGCAATCGGCCGCTGCACAGCATATGCGTTATATGCGGCTGGGCATGCCGCCACCGATGAGCATGTTGGGTCCCCCATCGGGTGTGTACGAGGACGGCAGCGTTGTTGGCATGGTGCCATTGCATCAAACCGGTGGCGTAGTGAGTGGTGTTGGTGGCGTCGCCGGCGCTGTGGGTATGGGACGTCGTCTGGGTGCTGGCGGACGTGTGAAGACCGAAAGCGACTTGGAATGGGATCCGTTTGAGATGATTTTRCATGTGCACGGCACTGAACCGGCGGCTAATTGAGCGGAAATGGCCGAGTGAAATGAAAATTAATTGTAGAAAAGTTGAGTTAATTGAGTAAGTAGTGTCCAATGATAATATTAGAGCGCAGTACTGCATATGCGAAGACTGGTTTGAGACGCAGTCTGGGTGCTATAGCAGCTTTAGGGTATAAGACARAGCAAACATAATCGTCTAAATCAAATAAATCGACTGATTACGCCATACTAAGGCATTTCTATACTATRTGAGAATCCTAAGAAATGTCGTAGCAACATGTGTATTTGTGTCTGAGCCACTTTGCAAGATTTTGCAGTCAAAGCAAATGTAAAGAACTAAAAAAAATGGTGATTCAATCAACCAAATTGTTTATCACTTACCGTATTAAGTAACCTTCTAAAGGCAATGCTAGTAGAGGCAAGACTGAGTTGWTGCAACTATTCGAAGCAGGCAAACGTCACTAAAATATATGACGCTTGAGTATAAAGAAATACACTGCAAAAAAAAAAAGAAAAATAAAACAGTAATACATAAGAAATTGAGAAGCGTACTGACATTTTGCTGATTTGATATTTTCTTATATATGTATGTATGTATAATCTGAGAAATTATATGTTTACGCGTAGTTTTTAAAATTTGTACACATTTACTTAGCGAAGCTAGAACTAAACTAAATTGTACTACGTAAAATTATAACTATATTCTACACTATATATTTTGAAAGGTTATGTTTTGTAARAATTTAAATATATGTCACTGCATAGATATTAAATAAATTTACCGACGAATAAATTTAAAAGAGATGGTGGTGTGTTTCTATTTGACCTAAATGCAGTATTGCTTCTTGAAGCATAGCCAGCCATAGGTAAGGTTACAGTGGCTGTCACGCCACAGAAAAACCAAAAAGGTTTATTGTAATGCCAGCTAGAGGCTGAAGCTTCCGTCAAGGGTTTCGTTCGAAGTTTAATAATATCTAATTCTGTTAATTCATCCATTCCCTTGAACTGTGAAGCTCCTGATATCTAAACGGAGTTCTATATAAGAGTTTAGGCATAAGCAGAGCAGGYATTTCAGCGTCTCTCTCGTACCTACTTCCCTGCCAGTAAGTTATGACATCTGCATATCCCTAAGGCATTTCCTTTCACCCAGATCCGTTTGTGTATTATTTTTAACGACTTGCGTGTTTCCTGAACTGGTTCGGTAGTCAAGCGGTTGGAAATCTTAACGGCAATTTGGTTTTGCGTAGTCTGAAACCGAGCATATATGTATATAGCCACTATATCTAACGCCTCCCTGCTCCTAAAGACATTCTCTGATGCAATGCGATCTGAGATTATTGATTTAGTGTGCCATTTGGCTATCGGCGTATATATTGAGGTTCCTTACATCGTTTCCTGCGTTTTTGCYCGCTATCCATAAGCCTTGTATATTGGYCTCATATACCAACAACCGKCCTGTAGTCTTTTCGAGAACGCGTAAGTAGAAAGTTTGTATGTTTTCCTTTTTCTTCCTTGCACAAGATCTCGGCGAACCTCTAGGGCACTCCATCTCACTCTGATCTGTTTTTATCTATATATTAGCGCTACAATAAGCTCTACCACCGACTGTGGCCCACATGGAGAGACACTGCCCGTTCCCATTTACCCRGCGCGTCCAATTTTACTCTATTGATTTATTAATAATTAAAATTGTCCTCCTTTACCTAAACTTTCTTTTCTTCGTAGATACTCAACCTCGTTTTCAAAGCATCTCAAGTAGCAACAAAGCCAAACACAAAGGATGAAAGAGCCACTACAAAAAATGGCTTTAACAACATCATAAATAACAAAAGGTGACCAACAATACAGCAAGCAATACAACAACAACAGCGCAACTAGTGATCTACACCARAACTTGCTTCGCGGTTGCTACAAATATACCAGCTATATATGTATGTGATGCGCGCGACGAGCTGACTGTATGCCCGCGTAGCTGCGTGGCACCTCACAGTTGGTTTTGCAMACGTTTTCCCTTCAATCAACCAATCAGCGAACACACACCTTTGCCACTATATTTCAGCGCACTTTTACCACTTTCTTGGCCTTTTGTTAGTGACTTCAGTGTCTGCTTGGAAACCGTCCGCCGACTTACCCCACTGTCAGCGTTAGCGTACCGTCTTTCAACCAAAAGCATTGAATTTACACCGCTGCGACTTTTTCGCGTCTTACAGATACCCCGTCAGCGTTTGCGACAGCGTTGTGACAGCAAAGTGTTGTACCTTTTAGTTTGTATCTTCAATAAATGCAACGTAACTGCAGGCTTTTGTGTAGACATCAAGTAGCTTTAATGACAACTACAACAAAGCTGTCTTTCTTTCAAAAAGCTACACCGTTGGTAAGTTCCCAGTAAACAGTGTTGGCGATCCATATAACCAAGTTTAATTAGAGGAATAAATTTCAAACTAAGTAGTTAGCAAAGCGCTCAAATAGTCTTGCCTCAGGAAGGAATATATTTRTACMTTTTAGAMAATAAATCCATTTATATCCTAMCCATTTWTGTCAGCTGTTTCGTCMAAAARGAAMCAAAGCRKTCATAATARCACAAAGACAGGTTATCCGATACAYGTTGGAGAGTATTGGAACGCTTGGCCCGATTTTTAGTATGCTACAGTTAGTAAGATCGAACAAACTATTTGTGGCTTTATAGGGTTTGCTAGATGGAAGGTAGTCAGTAGTGTCTCAACATATTAAGTTCTTAAGAGAAGACACTTCACTCGCCCACTTTTTAAAGCAGTTCAAGATTACCATCRGCAGTAAGAGCTGACTGGAACGATTCTACGCTTAATATACTACTGAGGGATAGCACACTCCAAAATATTATTTTCCGAGCATATTTCAAGCGCAGGTCTTTTTTATAATGCAGTGTGAGGAAATAAATCTTCAAGGTAACCAACATATAAGTTATCCGTACTTAATGAGAGTGAAGCGGCCTGTGACATCTAATACGTACTGGTGCAAGAGTTCATAGCACGGCTGAACAACCTATGAGTTGCAATCCTGTACAATTTATCTGGGTAGCGGAGCATAAAGGGGTASCCAGCTATGAACTAGCGGACGAACTGGCCGGCACTGTTGCTGCCTATAGGATGGTGGGACCAGGACACGGCATTGTGGCGTAGGCCAATACCATAAGACAGCCTTGCTCAGCGCGGAGTATAGAGAAGACAGAGAAAGATRTTGGCAGCAAGCAACAGATATGCGCCATGCAAAGTCACTAATGCGGGGTTACAACTTCACAAGATTTAAAAAGTATATAAAACCTGTTAAGAGACAAATTCGGTCTACTGGTCGAATTCTATACTGGTCAAAGCAGGCACAAGAAGCATCTGTTCAACAACGACAAAGTCTCTTGTGCAAACTGCCGGTTTTGCGGATAGAAAACTCCGGTGTATCTGATGCTGGTTGCACAGGAATCTGCAGATGCATGTTTAAAGTCCTTGGGTCTATATAATTGACTAGAGATCACATCACTTCAAGTTCATGGAGTTCATTACAGTGCTGGTCCTTTGATAGCGCATGTGATGTAGGGGAAGGCATAATAGACCTTAGGTCGCGTTGCAAACCTTAATAAAATTTTATTTTAGGTCGAGCGAGAAAATTTGTATCCATATGATTCGAGCTCAGACCTGAAAGCACGTTACTCAGGTGATACTTGGAGATACTGCGAAGAATCTTACAGCTTTAAAAACGTTCGAAAACCGATTTTTATTTTCTTTTAAGCAACTCTACGATCTCTAGCTCTACATAGAAGTCTCTTATAGCACAAAAGAGGCACGTAGACCAATATGATCTTATGTTGGGGAAATCCGCGACCTAACATTTACATAGTTCACGTTTCTACTGGGTTACCATGTACTCTTTGTACCTTTCCTTTGGCATTTTCAGTTATTGTAAGTAGTTGTTGTTGTTCCTGTTCTTTTGGCATACAA